TACATAAAATGTTTCCCCTGAACTCAAAGCCAAAAAAAAAACCAATCCATATACATTTAATTAAGAGAGTATGGATTTGGATATATGTATGTCTATTTATTAGCAAGGGCTTAAGGAAAATCTAATTGTCCTTAACTGGAAAATCCGTATTTTGTGCTTATGTCTGCTGATGCGCTGTAGATTGGCCCTGAATTGGATCTGACACCTTTCTACCTTTAGCCACCCCTTAGTTCACATTGCTCCCTTTCTGGCCACCCCTTTAATAGTTTTCTGGCTACATCCCTGTGCTTTATGGAGGACCAATTCTGCCATAATTCAAAATAAATACAGAAATAAATAAATACTCCAAAAATAAATAAGCATACAATTAATTGTCCCCCATAAATACAATAAACAAATAAATGTAGGTAGAATTGAAATTATATATTGAGACATACATAGATATACTGTATATCTCTTTTAATTAGCTTCTTTGTTTATTTGCCTTTGTAATAATAACCTTATTTATTTATTGCTTGTTATATTCTTCAACTTTATTTATTTATTACTCATTTATTTAAGCATTTGTTTATGTGCATGTTATAATATTTTTGTCTGGTTTATTCTTCCTTTTGTGTTTGTTTTACCCTATTTATTTCTTCCATGCTATTTATTTCTGCCTGTCGTATTTACATTTCTGTATGCATTTCTGCCTCATCATGCAAATGAGAGAGGGGTGTGTCTTAAGGGGTCACCTTCTGCCCATTGGTGGCTTAGCATCCAATGGCCACAGTCACAACAAACATGTCTACCTACAATGAAGCTGTCAGTGAGCAACATAGTGCTTTAGGTCATTGTGTGTTTTACACTGAAGCTTTGTATTCGTGGTGATGCCTTCAGATTCTGCTTCGATAGTTCCCTAAAATGCTCTGTTCTCATGATACCATCTACTGTCTGAAATCCTCTGCTGCCTCTGTACTTCATCCTTACGATGTTCCAAAGTTTTTCTCAAATGCAGCGATGGTCATTGTGGTCAAACACAGTCATTTTAGCATCACCAAACTAAAGCACACCTCCAGAAAAATGATCTCTGGGTGCATTTGAGAATTGCAAGCCAGCTTACCATATTGTTTTTAAAATAATGGCTGTGTCCAAATGCCCTTCCTAACCTCATGCCATTTTAGATGAATTTCCGAATGTCTAGTGGATGCAAAAGTAGGGGACTCAAAATTTCCCACAATGCACCTTGAAAAGTAGTGTGCAACCATGGTCACTAGATGAGCAGATATATCCTAGTTTGCATTACCAGAAGTCTCCTAGCAAAGCATTATGGGATTTGTTGTAGCAGCAAGAAAGAACAAAGATGGAACAGGCACCGTGCAGGGAGGTGGAGTTATGTGACCAATGGGGATTGAAAAATAGTGATCATTTGTCCAAACGGTCATTTAACTGACATCACCATGAAGTCCATTATATAGTCCCTGCTCTATATAGTGATTGAGGGATTTAGGGGTTAGGGCGGACATTCTGACACAGCCAAGGTCTGAGAGGCCTTTCAGGTCATGTTGGTAAGAGTAATTTTATTAGTTAATTCCCAACTTTTCATCTAATAGTTTTTATTACTTTTTAAGGTTTTTATGGTGTCATAAAATGAAGAACTATTTTTACTATCTCCACATTTGGGATTTTATTTAACTCAAATGTTATCAATTACTCTGAAGCTGACATAAATAAACTTTTTCTAGGTTTGTTTTTATGTTTAAAAACATAAAGACTTTGGTATATTTAAACTTTAGACTTTTCAGATATAAAAATAAAATGTAAAAATTCCTGGAAAAAAAACATTTTCTCCGGAATTTCACAAATAAAAATAATTGTTATTTTATTTGATCTAAAACAGAAGACATATAGTCGGGTTGAGGGTTGCGCAGTGAAGAGAAATGGGTTGTATGTTCTTAAACTGTCCTTATACCTATTTTTATATCAGCTGCATGTCTAACATGATGCCTCATTCCTACCTTCATTCAGTTCTGCTCCAAACACCATGGCCCGAGCTCCACACACAGCGACACAGTGCAGCAGGGATTCTTGTCGAAGGTTGTAGTTAATGAAAGCAGTTTCTACACCCACCATAGCCAGCCCCAGCCACAGAACCACCACTGATGGATGATTTTCCATGTATAAAGCTACTACATCTCCCTCAGCCCAGCCCTCGGCCAGAGCCCAGTGAGCCACAGCATTGCATCGCTCCTGCAACTCCAGAAAACTCCAAACCTGTGGGGACCAAATATGGAAAACTGCATACCTTTCATTTTCTCAGTTACAAATGTTTTTTTTTTTGTCAGTAATGTATTCTTACCTCCCCTGTGGTGTCAAAGATCAAGGCTGGTTTGTTTGGATGCTGCAGAACTTTCTGAGCAAACAAGGCAGGAATGCTTGTTTTGTTTCGTAGATTTCTTTTTATGGAAAGTCTTACTCGCACAATAGCAGCCAGACACCTGTTAAACAAAAAAAAAAAAAAAAATAGAAAATAGAGGGAGTGATGGAAAGTCATTAATTGGAAAGACAGGGGTAAAACGTTTAATAAAACATGTCTAGCAAATAGTTGCTTACATTAGATCTCTCTTAATAGTGCATGCAGCAATATGAAGGTTCTTCCAAGATCCCATCCAGAACACAAAGACTCCCAGGCCTGCTAACAGACTGGAGTACCATGGGAGGGAGATGAACCCCAGCAGAGCCAAAAGAATCAGGCTCAAAATCATACAAATCCACAGCTTCATAATCTGCAGAGAAGCATTTCACAACAGGGTTTAAAGAAGCGTGAGAGGAATCTGGGGCAAAGGGATTTAGATTACAATAGATAGAAATGTATTTACCTGTGCAGTGATTTTACAAAAAGCTCCACTGAGAAGAGGAAGAATCAGGAAACAGTGGAAGAAGTAATTAAGGCAGAGAGGGAGCAGCAGCAGGCGCTCCGAACAGATGTTTCCAGAGCAGCTGTCAGAAATGAAATGCCTGATAAGAAGCACAGCAGAGAGCGGAGCAGGTTACAACTCATGGCTCCTGCGTCACAGTGGGGTGTGTTGTTCATCTAAAGCTAAAATGGAGCTGTGTCTTTACGAGGAGCAAGACACTTTTTTATTTTATGAGATGTATCATAAATCTTCAGCAAGAAATACATATGAGATCAGACTCTTATGCAGACCCGGAACAGGGCATGTCCCCAGATTGGCAGGGGGGGGGGGGGGGGGGGGGGGCAAAGAGAGAGGGACAAAAAAAATCAATATAAATATTTAAAAAAAGTAGCAATATGTAAAATAGAAATAAATAGGAGCAAAAGAGCAGGCAGTGGGGTTTTTACAGGAGTTTCTGTCAGGAAGCCATCCAACAGATTTGAACCTGTTATTATAAGAGACAAAAGGCCTGGAACAAGTGAAAACATTCCAGAAAGCAACAGTAACAGAAAAGAAACTGAATGCATCTTCCCTGCTGGCAATTGAGAATTAATATACAACCTCTCTGAATTATTGAGGACATTGCCACAACAAAACTCAGGAGAAAGCGTCTATAAATGCATGTTTTCAAAATCTAAATCTGAGTAAGTAAAGTGGAGATTTAAGCATAACATAAAATGCATAATAATTAAATGTATAATATAGGGCAATACAGTAATTTCTATTGAAAAAAAAAGTCTCAAACAGTTATCTTTGATCTCATGCATTTTATTATTTATTTTATTAGGCCTGAGATGCTAGAAAGCTGAAAATTATCCATTCTCCACGCTTGCTAAATGCTTTCCTCAGGCAGTGCTGTTAATTTTATTTATCATCATTTACTGTTGGACAGTTTCTAAATAGTCTGGATAAATTTGAAGAATTCATGTTTGTCTTCTTGTTCCTATACTTAATCACAGGTGTGAATATTGTTTTCAGAGGAAGGGATGAGAATTTTTGCTCATCAAATTCAGTTTTCCTTCACTGTCTGAACGGCTCCGATGTGTTCTTGGTTCAAACATGAGGATCAAGTTATTTAATTATTGTTTATTTAAATGTGCTTGCACAGCAAAGCATCCAGATAATCATCCAGACCAGTGGAGAAAACTGCTAAACAGTCCAGACCATGGAGCTGAGCTGCTGAGTGTTGAAGACCCGAAAATTGAAGATAGGTGATGCTTGTCCATAAAAAAAAAAACATTTGTACTTTATCATTACAGCAAAGTTTCTCTCACTTCAAATTTTTATCTTTTTATATTGAATTTAATAAAAACATTTAATGAAGATGCAATAGCTTACTACAGTTATCCTATTTGTTTACAACACAATGCTTACAATGCTTGATTTACTGGTAGAACTGCCTTAACAATGACATTCACAATGGATAAGGATAATTTAATAGTTTCTATTAGGCTTTTTAATAACATATAAATAAGGTAATAAAAGTTTAATATAAAACTTTTATCTTGTAATATCTTCTATTAAAAATAGACTGTTTTATATATGACTAATGAGCTAGTCAGACCATACAGTCTGCCTAATTTAGACCATTTATTTAATCTGGCTCTGCTTTTTGCGTCCAAACACAGTTTTTAATTTTTGAAAAGACCTGCTCTCTCCACTTACAAAAAAAAAAAAAATTCACATGCACAACCCTATAACCACTCCCAAGATGTAACGACTATTAAACTCGTGCAAGAGCATGCACAAGCCCATTTCTCCTCCTGCACACTCTGTGTAAAAGTTGCTGTTTGCATCACTCATCCAAAAGATTTCCACATTTTCCACTATGTTAGACTCCACCACCAGTAAATGAAAATGGGGACAAGCACGTAGGACGGCCTTACGTGAACATATCACCAGAATGATTGATAATTAGGAGGACCTTGGGAGGGAGATGAACCCCAGGAGGATCTTGAGACAGCATCTGCATCCCCATCAGACCGATCTCTCTGGGCTCCCTTGATCGGCTCCATCACTTAGTGTAGTGGGGGGCTATGGGGTGCGTCTTGTGGGGCGCGGGGGCTAGTTCGGGTGTCCTTGGGTCCTGGGGGCTCGGGGGGGTGCTCGGAGCTGGGTGCCTGGCGGGCCTGGCCCGGGGGACTGTTGCCCCCGTCGGGGCGGGGTCTGGGGCGCCGCGGGGGGGTCCTGCGGTGCTCTTGGGGGGTTCCGTGTTGGCGGACGTGGGCTACTGGCCTGGTGGCTGTGCTGCTGCTGGGTGGGGCTGGGCGCCGGGCATCGGTTCTTTTGTGGTGCTGGCCAGGGTGCTTCTGCTCTGCGGGGCGTCGGGGCGTGCCTCGTCTTCCGGTGCCGGGTTTCGGTGGTTGGCCGTGACGCTTGCCGTGGTTGCGTCATCCGGGGGGGGGGCGTGGGTGGTCGCGCCTGTGGCCGGGGTTCGTGTGTGTCTGTTGTGGGCTGGTTGCGGGCGTCGGGGGTCCCTTTGGAGTGCCCCCGGGTCGGGGTGTGGCTTCGCTCTGTTGGGGCGGGTGCCGGTGGCGCGTGGTGTGGTGCATCGTGCGCGGCTTGGGAGTGGAGGGTTGCTCGGTGTTTGGCGGCGGGGAGGGGGGACGGGCCGTGGCCGGCGTGGCCGTCCTCCTCTCGGCGGCCTGTGGGCGGTGCGGGGCCGGAGCGGGGTGGCTTGTGCTGCTTTCGCGCCGGGCGCAGCGGGAGTGGTGGGGTCGCGTCTGCTGCTTTCTTTTTGCTGCTTGTGCCGGCTTCTGGCGGCTGGGGCGGCCTTGCTGCTCTGGCTCTCTGGCGTGCGCCGGGTGGGGCTGCTCCGTCCTTTGCTTTGCCTTGCGGCTGTGTTTGCTGTGGTCGGTGGGGGCGGGGTGGTTTCGTTGTGTTTTTGGGTGGGGGAGTCCGCCTGGGGGCTTGGTTGGTGCCGTCGGTTCGTCCATGTCGGCCTTCCGGTGTTGTTTCTGTTGGGGCTGCTCGGGCCCCCGCATGCCGGCGGTGCGCTGCCGGGGGGGTTCCTGTTCGGCGGGCTTGCCTGTCTCCTGGGAGGGCAGGCATGTTGACCTTTCTGGGGAGGAGCATCTGGGTGGAGGGGTCCTCGTGGTGTGGCGGTGGGTGTTGGGCACTGGCTTGTTTGCGGCCGTTCTTCTCCAGTGAGGGGGAGATTATTATAATTGTTTTTTTTGTGTGGGAGGGGGGGTGTGGGCGGGGGGATCGGGGCTTGGAGTGGGGCTTGGGATTTGCGCTTCGCTGTGTTGTGTGGCTTTCTTCTTCTTCGGATTGGTGCTGTGGGACCGGTGTCGGGGGGGGAGTCGTTTGGGGGCCGGGGTTGGGGTGGGGGCGCTGGCGCCGGGGGTTTTTGGGCATTGCCCGGCCCTACTGCGGGGTGGGTATGGGGTGGGTCCTGGGGTCTGGGATCCCTGGGGCGCATTGCCCTTGGGCGGGGGCCCCGGTGGGGGTTCGGGGGCTGGGTTCTGTGGGTAGTGCTGCTTGGGTTCTGGGCCGGTGTACGCCCGGCTGTCTGCCCCTGCTGCCATGGCCTTTGGTGTGCCGGGGTGCCTCGGGGCCTGCTGGGCTGGGGGGGGGGCATGGACATTAACACCTATGGCAAGTGCTTACCCCCTCACGGGTTTGCACTCTGTAAGAGGGGGAAGAGGAGGGAGGGGGAGTAGGTATGATCTCGGCCTGGATGTCTTCTGTCGCTTGTGTGGTGAGTAGCTTGATTGTTATTGTAGGGGAGGGATTACATCTCCGGAGGGGGGTGGGGGGTGGTGATAGAGGGAAGAAGATCTTGGAAGGGCTTCGGGTCTGGCTCCCTGTCCTGGTCCTGGTCCGTGCTGCCCCCTGGTGGGGCTTCGTCCGGGGTGGAGGCTCTGCGTGTTGCGCGTGGGCTGGCCGGCTGGGGTTGTGCCCCCCCTTATTCATTTATTTATTTTATATTTCTTATTTTTTTATTTATTTAATCAATTTATTTATCTATTTATTTTTTATTTATTTTTTTTGGATGGACAGGACGGGGGGAGGGTGGTGGTGTCGGCTCCGTGCCCGGCTGGCTGGTGGGTCCTGCTGCTGGTCCCGTGCCCCCGGGCTATGGTGGTGAAACTGGTGGGACCCCCTTCTCTGGGGGGGCTCTCGGGGAACGGGGGTGCCTATTGGAGTCAGCGGGGGAGCTGGCTCCCTGGGAGTGCAGCAAGCACCCCAGTCCTTTGCTCCCCATCCCCGAAATCCTCCCTCTGCCTGCTCCATCACTCTGCCACACATGTAGGTTTTTGGTGAGGGGGTCGTTACTGGAGGGCCACACCTTCTGATGACGTCCCCCACACCAATTTTATTTTGCATTTTAGACACTTCCATCTACATCATTTTCACAACACACATCTATGTAGGGCATTTTCGGGGGGTGGGGGTCAGGGCCACCGGGGGGGGGGCTTATTTTATGGGCCTCACCACGGTCGGCCTCCTCCATCCCCTCTCGCATCTAGACATTGAGGGTTTAGGGTTGTCGAAGGGGGGGTGTGCTGGCACCGTCTATCTCCTGGAGGGGGGTTGGAGTGTGCCGGACAACCCCTCTCGGTACTCCCAGTTTTAATTGCATCTGAGAGCAACACGCAACAACACCACATTCGAGCGGGCGCAGTGAGGATCGGGGTCTTCTCACACCCCTGTTCTCCGGCTGCCGCCTGGAGTCTGGGGCCTGGAGGAAGAGCAGGCCACCTGGTCCGTGGTTTTGGCTGGGGCTGGCTGCGGGGCCTAGGTGGCCTGCCGGTGGCGGGGCTGTCACCTCTGCTCTCCCCAAAGAAGGTTGGATGGAGGGGCATGAAGTGCCTGGTTGAAGGTTTTATTTATTTTTATTTTTTTATTTTTTTTATTTTTTATTTTTTTATTTTTTCTTTCTTCCTTTCCGGGGGGGGAGGCGGTTCTGGTTGGGTGGCCGGCGCGGGATGGGTGGGCCCCGGTCCCGGGGGGGGGCTCTTGCTGGGGATGGTCCGGTCCGTATGCGGGGTGGGGGGCCGGGCTTGAAGCAGGAAAGAGATGGGTTGGTGTGGCGGTGTTGCCGCTCCCCTCCCCTCACGTCCGGATTTTAGGTTCACTTATGGGGTCATCCGATAGTCCCGGGACCGACCACCGGTGTCACCGGGTTTTTGGTCCTGGTATTATTGGATGTGAGTGTTATGTGTGAATGTGTGTCCGCGTTGTTATTTTCTTTATTTATTATTATTATTATTTTATTCAATTTTTTTTTTCTGTGGTACGAGTGGGGGCACTAGGGAGGGAAGGCATGATTGAGATGGTGTGTTTTTTTATTTTTTTGTTTTTTTTGTTTTTGTTTTGTTTTTGTTTGTTTTTTTTGTTTTTGTTTTTTCTCCAGGTTGGGGTCTCAACTGCACCCTCTCCCAAATATATCTCAAGTCTCCGCTAAGTGCGGAGCCCATTCCCCCCGTCCTGCTCTCCCTCCGCTGGCTGGCGTCGGGGCTCACCGGTGCACTGGTGGAGCTGGGGGTGGATGCCCGGGGGACTGCTGGCTCATTCCTGGCGGCCTCTCCGCTGGCCCCGGCCGGCCGGGGCTTTGCTGGGGCTCCTGTCTGGGGATCGGGTGCCCTTGGGGCCTCGGATCCCTGGGGCATGGGACTGGATCCGCTTCGGGGTGGGGCTGGCTGTTGTTCGGGGATTTTCGGGGTCGGTGCCGGTGCCTTCGCTACGATGCCGGTTCCTGGGCGGTGTTTCTTTCCTATGCCGGTTCTGTGGTATCGGTTCGGGGGGGGGGGGGGGGGGGGGGTCTTGGGTCCTGTTTTGGGCTCCGGTTTTTTACGCTCGCACTTCTCCTCTTGCCTATTTATTTTATTTTATTAATTTATTAATTAATTTACCTATTTATTTATTTATGTTTTTTTTCTTCTTTTTTTTTTTCTCTTCCTCGGTGGGGGGGAGCGGTTGTGGGCGGGTCGGTGTCTGGTGTCCGCTGTCACATTGTGGGGGCTCCTTCTTTTCTTTCTTTCTTTTTTTTTTTTTTTTTTTTTGGGGGGGTTTGGCATGTCTGTTTTCTCGGGGGGGCGGGCGGGCCTGCTGGGTGGGGGTCCTGCTGGCGGCGCGCCGCTGGCGTGTGGGGGTCCGGGCGGCTCCGGCGGGGGTGGTGTTGGGGGGCCGGTCTGGGCGGGCTGGCTGCGCTGGCTGGGTATTCGGGTGGGTTTTCCCTCCTGGAGGCATGGCGGGGCTGCTCTGTTCCCGCTGATCGTGGCGGGTGGGGCTGCGGGGCAGGTGGGGGCCTGGAGTGGCTATGGCCGGCGCGTGTTGGGGCCTGGTGCGGGCGGCGGGGGGGGGCGGCCGACGTGGCTGAGCTGCTTTGGCTTCGTCCGGTGGGGGGGGCGGCGTGGTTCGCTCCGCTCTGGCTTTGTGCTGCCCCTCGGGCTGCTGGGGGGGGGGGGGTTGCGCCGGCTGCGGCCTGCTCTTCTTGCGGTTTTGCGCCGGGCGGCTTTTCTGCTCTCGGGCTGATTCTGTGCGCGGTGTGTTTCGTTGCGCGCTGTTGGCATCGGTCTTGGTGGGGTGGGGCTGCGCTTTTGGCCGGGGGGGCGTTTTGGGGGGGTCCCGCGGCGCTAGTGGCCGGTTCGCGGCGGATGCGCGTGGGCCCCGGCCGGGGGTGGGGCCGCCTGAGTGTTTTTCCTGGGTGGTGCGGTCGCGGTGGGTGTTGCGGCCGGTCGCCGGGGCTTGGTGCCGGGGGGCGGGGAGTGTTTCGGTGCTCTGTGGGGCTGGGGCGTTTCGGTCGGCGCCGTGGGGGGGCTGGTGTTCGGTGCCCGGCCCTACTTCGGGGTGGCCGGCTGCCGGCGGGGCCCGCGGACTAGTCCCTGCGGCTCCCCGGGGCGCCGGCATGGCGGTGGCTGGGGGGCTTCTTCGTGGCTGTCTCTCCTCCTGCCTTGGTGGGGGTCTGGTTTCCGGGGCTGGCCCCGCCTTGGTGCCTTCGCTTCTGGGGTCCCTTTGGGCGCCTGGGGTTTTGGGTCTCCCGGCGCTGGACTCAGTGCTCTGGGGGGTGTGCCTCTCCGGCTCTCCACAACCACTATTGAGCATTTTTTCTATGGTTAAAACTTTACATGCACAAGTTCACCCTCACAAACAACTACAGGTGCTAGGCTTCAGGTACTTAGAGATTCACTTCCAAACTGAAACCCCACATTCATATCTTCAGGTAACACAGAGTACATGTCAGACTTAATAATATTACTTTAGCGATAGTTTCAAGGTGTTTGCTTTATTGTATATCTCGTACCATGTCTTTTGGTTGTGCTGTTCTTTTTCATCTCATTGCAGGTGATGAAGCAGACTGAAAATGTTTTGTCATTGTCTCCTTCCTATCTCCTCTTTCTTTCATCTTTTGTCCTTTTTTTTTCTTTTTCTTTTAACTTCTTCTTCTTCTGTTTTTCTGCTCTACTTACATTGCAGTGTCCATATGAACTGTAAAACTCCCTGCATAATTATAATAAAGCAATTTATATACATGAAACAAGTGGGTCAGTATGGCAACTGTGATACCGCTACACTTGTCAAAGTAAAATCTGTTGGGCTCCTTTTGGCATCAAGACAATTATTCTTATTGCCACCTTGCCAGACAGGAAACTGTAAAAAAAAAAAAAAGATAATTAGGAGGACCACTTAGTTAGATGATCCACACGGATAAAAAACATCCTCTACTATACCTTTCAGTGATTTAATTTAGAAAATAGATGTGTGGGCACCAGGGTTGAATTTACTGTGGGGTTTTTGGTGTCTTTACTTTACACAGGGTAAAAGGTATACACACAGACTTAATTGTACGTATTTAATCTAGAATTGTATATACAATTAACAGTATCCGATAAAATTAGATCAAATTATTTAAGATGCTCTCCAGAAGCATGTTTCTCATAGGAAACCAAAAAGACATCTCTTAAAGGTCAAAAATGAATGGAACTTGCTTAGAAACATGTACTTAAATCCTGGTGGAGCTGTATCTATATGTAATTAAACCTTTTGACTGACAGTGAATCAAGTAGAAAATCCACATCCATTCAAACTTGTGAACTAAATCTTCTATGCTTTGTGTTTAGCGTTTATTAAAAGGAAATGTTACAAGTCCAAAATAATGACATTCATCTGTTGGGGCTATAAGCAAACTGTAAATCGGTATTCTCAAAAGAGAGGATATAGAGATTAAATAAACATTTCAATGATAATCTATTTTATTTAATGGGTCTGTATGAAATTTGTGATAAAAATAACATTTGAAGCAAGAGTTTTCACATGAATGAGCTTTATTTAAATTTATAAACAATATTATTTGAAGAAAAAGTACCAAATAGTGTAAAGATTCAAAGTAAAAAAAATAAGCATATTTATAAATGTAGATATAGTATACTCTAACAGAAAGGATTCTTACATTCATAATAAAGCTACATTTAGCTTCTTTACATAAATACATTTTTTGCTTTGCAGGAATACAAAAAAAAAAACTTCTTGATAGTAATAATAAAAACAGTCACAATAACAAACAAACCAATGTTTCTGCTGGTAAAACGATTTCTGAAAGCCCCTCCTTTGGTAAGAAAGGGCGTTTCCCACAGTTATTTTAAAACGTGTTCAAAATTTTCAGGTTGTGTAAATGTAACTGCTTCTATTATTACGCAGCAATGTGAAGAAAAAAAAACAACCTTTAGCTGTACTAAATCTTTTTACAATGGAAAAGTGCAATAATATAAACCAGCTGAGATCTGTATAAACTATAGCTGTCTGAACGTTCCTTGCAGAGACAAAGCTTCCGTCCTACAGTAACTTACATCTTTTGGGACATAGACAGGAGCTAAAATAAGAAGACAGTCACTAAATGGACAATTATTCCACAAACACTGCATGATGGGAGGAAGCTGCTGCAGGCTTATCAGAAGGGTGGGCCTGTTTTTGTTGATTCCCCAAACTGGTATCCTTTCTGTTGGGTTTACTTGGTTTGCAGTTGCTAGAATAATAATAATAACAATAATAGCAGAGCACAGCTCAGTCATTACCTTAGATGGAGTGTTTAATGTTAGCCATGAGTGACTGAAAAAAAAAATATCACTCATTTTGTTTAAAAATCTACAACCTGGAATATTAAGGAAATCTAGACGCTATGAGTTTCTGTCCCACTGAAAACAAATGTTTATTTACAGTATGTGGAAACATAAAACAAAAATACAGCCAGGAAAAAGAAACTAAATACCTTTTTTTGTTGTTTTTTTTTTACCGATAAACATGTTTTTCAAATGCGGCTATTGGCATAAACTTCACATCAGATGTTCAAATAAACCAAAGTAATCCACTAATCCAAAGAAAATATGACTGGAAATATGTGCAATAAAGAGGAAAAAAAAAAAAAAACAGGATAAGATAAATGCTCAGATAAATCAAATGCCAAGTGAGACTTTCAAAGTATAGAAATCTGATAAAATCTCCAAAAATTTAGAGATATATCAGTCTGCTCCCTCGCTGCAGATTAATATCATGGGTTAATTCCTGGTTGATGCTAATAAAATAGAGTCAAACATGTCATCTCCAAAGTTCCTTGCATTAATATTGTTGCAAAACTTAATGATTCCATTTTTGTTTTTTTACAGACAAATCTGAGAAAAAAATAAAAGGTCACACTTCTCTAAAGACTTCTGAGAGAGGAGTGAAAGGAATAACAATGAGAATCAAAAACCGCTGAAAGAGCATCACAGAACGACCTGAATATAAGACATTGAGTTTTCAATAACAATAATAAAGCTGTAAACTATATTGGCTTTTATAAAAGCTAACTGCACAAGACTCTGCTGCTGAAGAAAAGGGGAATTAATTGAATTACCTGCAGAACATGTCTACAAACTAATGAAATGCTGGGAGACATGAGTCCAGCAGTGGCACTGCACATAAAAACACCATAAAAACAGGGACCTTTGCAAGTGAGAACATCCTGGTTTGGGGCCATCTTTGACCAAACGGACAGTACTACAAGATTTCACATAATTAAAGATGATGATGGTGGATTTGGATTTCGGCGTGACAATGAATCCAAAATAGTATCCCCTTATACACAAATACATAAATTCAATGGAATCCCTTAACCAACTTACAATCCAGTTACATTCATCAGTTTAATATATTTGGCCAATAACCTGATTTCAGCACTAAAGCTACATTGTCCTGTTATCAGTGTTAAGTGTAAATGTAGTGAAGTGCTAAAATAGATCCTGGCATAGAGTGGAAGTTTAACAAGGTTCAAAAACAAAGTCTTCAAATTTCCAAGAATCCAAGAATAAAGAATGAATTGGATTCAAATACATTACATCCTTTATAAAATTGTGATTACTTTTCGCATTAAACTGAACAGCAGTAAAATAAAGCTAGGCCGTATGATATTATATTAATTGTTGTTACTCTGACATGGTGCATGATATTATGCTTGTTAAAGCTAAAGTGATGATAAACATGTATAGTATGTGCTGCTTCGATTGATGTGAACATCTGGTGTGAATTTCATGATAATATGCTCATTAAAGATATATTAGCTGGAAACAATTCATATTTATTCAATATCCTCTTCCTAACTGTATGCACAAACAATCAACAACAAATAAATTTCTACAATGAACATTTACATACCTTACAGTGCAAACTATCTGCTCATGCGTGTATAACTTCTAATGTCTGCACTCTGAAATAAATATATTGAAATCTATAAAAGTGAGTTTTAGTTGCTCTGAAGTTAGTACAGCTTATTCTATAACTGATATGTTCTGGATGAACTGTAGCATCACTTTAATTCAAAGAGCTCCTGAATGCAGTTTTTTTTTTTTTTTTAAGGCTCACAGTTTCTAAATCATCCGGATAATTTTACAGCAAAGGTTTCGACAACTTTATCACTCTACTACAACTTGTTCTCTTAGGAATGCCGGTATTAGTATGATAATAGGTGGGATAACTATCAGGCTCTATGGTTTAAGAGGTATTTTTTTTCTATAGGCTTGATTTTTGATTTTTCCCTTTAAAATAAAAAGGACAGAGCTATTGGAGCCATGAAGTGATGTTTGTTTTTAAGTCCTTAATACCACCAGAACTCTATTAAAGGTCAATTTGCATTAAATTTGAAATGGTTTTCTTAAAGCTGCAGTCTGTAACATTGAGAAGAGAGCAGACTTCGACTGAAAATTTGAAGAAAAACAGGTTTCACGTCACTCCCCCACCCTCTCTGCTTCACTCATGCCCCACCTCCAAGCTCTACCCCTCTCACAGCATCTGCGCGGCTACCGCATGCGACCAGAAGGGGGGGGGGGAGGGGGGGGCGGGATTCAGCGTGTGTGAGCTGTGATTGACACTCCATCAGACGCTCCTCTGGCTGTGATTAGTTGTTTTGACTCGTCCCGAATTATTCTTTCCAGATTGAAATACAGGCAGTAGGCGGGACCAATTGAAGCAGTTTTTTTCACAGGTTACAGGTACTGCTGTCTGGGCATAGGGACAGTTTTAGCCAATATGACAAAAAAGTGATTTTTAAAAACTTACAGACTTCAGCTTTAATACTGAAATGCATATCTACAATTTTCAAAAAGCTAAAGTTGCTATTATTTTCAATGGTATGCAGGGGGCAACCTTTAATCTAGGCGAAATGTCATTATCTATTAAAAACCTTTTTTTCATATTGTTTGTAAAGCCAGAAGTTAAGAATTGATGAAATTTGGTAGATATTTAATGGTTGCTTTAATATTTTTTTTTTTTTTATCATGGTCCCTTTTAGAGTGAATCTAAATGCAAAGCTGAGCAGCTACTGAGTCGAAGGGTTCGGTTTTTCACGATTCACAGTCTGTCCACCCTAAACTCAAGTTTCAGCAAAATCCTGAAACCAGCTGATGGTTCCACTTCATTTGTTTCTGCTTTATAGCATTTATTTTTCTGTTCTTAATACATATTAAACAAAAAAAAATAAATAAATAAAAAAATAAATCACTCATGGTTGACATTGATCTCTTTTTTTGTTTTTTGTTGGGGTTTTTTTTTTGCTATCCCAATGGTCAGAAATGGCAGGTTGAAAGATCAATAAATTAAAAACCCTAAAATATAGGCACGAGAGGAGTTTATTTTTTTTCTTGGCTATTTCAATGTCAGTCTGAATGGCTTATTTTCTGTCCATGAGGCTGAGGAAAAACAGCGTAGCTCTTCATATTTGGGATTCTCCTGTGATCTGCCCACTCCGGGAACCCTAAAGAAAAAGAAATCACACCATGGGAAAAGCTTTAAAAAAAGGTTCTCCAGCTTTTAAAATCAGTTATTAATACCAAATGAAACAAATACATTTAATAATGAACTGTGAGGCAGAGGGGTAAAAGACATCAGTTTTTTTCAAAAAAATCAAAACAGATTTTAATTATGTTGATTATGATTTGCAGCGTAGGTGTTTTATCCGTTGGATCAAACATTAGTGCATGTAAGGTGTGCAGGGAAATAAACATACACTGGTTTCAGGACAACAGCCCATGAGGATTTAAGTCTACCACTGGTTTAAACCCATCATCAGCATCGAAACTAATTCCCAGCTTTCCTTAAATCTTTCTGATGTTGCATACTTACTGTGCTTTTTTTTTTTTTTTTTTTGGAAAGCAGGACTTCCAGTTTCTAATGCAAATCTTTTTCAGTGAAAAAAACTCAAGGTCTCAGACCTTAACAAAGGAATGCATGTTACATGTTTTTGCTTGGTACCACATTGGTACTGTATTCTTATTCAGCCTATTCATTTTATTTTTATTTCTTTTTGAGTTTTTAATTGCACGCTTGGCTTGTTTTTTTGACAGTAGGCTGACAGGAAAGGGGGTTTGAGAGAGGGGGAGAGAAATGCGGCAAAGGACCACAGGTCGAATTCGAACCCTGGTCAGCCACGTCGAGGACTAAGGCCTCTGTACATGGATCATGCGCACTAACCACTGCAGCACCTGCACACCCTATTCAGCCTATTTTTTTCAGGAAAACTCTTCTATAAAACAATGTGTAGAATCCATACTAAAAGGATGTATGTATGTATATATATATATACTGGTAGAAATATTTTATCTATACTCCGTTTGTGTTTGATGGGTTGTGTTCTAATGAACTATTATGATGTATAATGTGTGATTCATCTTTTATTAACTCTTGCTTAAGATTGTTCCAGATAAAGGTCATGCAACGGACGGGTTGTGAAGGAGGCCTGAACATCCTCTATCACATTTTTCTTCTAAACATGTGTTCTTGGAACAATTAAATTGTAAAACAACCACATGCTTTGTTTTAACATATGTGCTGAGGTTTAAAGTAAGATCCTTTTGTTTCCCCTTTCCCTTTAGTTAAACCTCAGCTGATGTAATTAGGGACATCCCATTTTCTTCAATAAATAGCAAGGAGAAAGCTAAAGACTGCAGAGTGGGTTGGAGATTTGTAAACTCTGCAGTCTCCTTCCTATTCTCCTCGCGAATAACTAAATTAATTGTCTCTGTGCTTTCTTTCTTTCCCTGTATGTATGTATGATGTTTTAGGTGCTTAGACCTGACATATACATATATAAAGAGTCTCAATTGTAAAATGATAAATTAATCATTGGGGACATCAAGGCAGCGTTGCGATTATCACTGACTTTGATATCTCCGATTTAGGGATGAAATTCACTGAATTATTTTGTCCCCTAAAAGCCGCTTAATAATTATGTTTAAGCCCAATTTGTGCAGGTGACAGCCGTCTGGAACCGCAGAGTGGTTAACAGCTGTAACCTACTAAAAACAAAACAAAAAGCCCCATGATGGGGCAAAGCAGCACATCTATCTATCAGGGTTATGGGGAAGAATGTATGTGTTTAAGCTACAACTTATAGCCTATGCATATACACACACAGAAACACAACCACACACTTACTTGTTCTGCCATCGTAGTGAGGACCATGTATTGACTCCCATTTTCAACCCTTTCTATGCCCTAACCCTAAAACTAACCATTACCAATGCACACCTCACCCTAACCCTTACCTAATTGACACCTTAGCCCTAAACCTTACCATTAGCAACATAGCTAGTTAGGACCGTCAAAATGTCCTCACTTTGCAGCAACTGGTCCTCAATTTGATTGTGAAATTGGAAAAAAGGTCCCCACTCTGAGGGCTAGACAGGTCATACACACACACACACACACACCTAAACACTTAAAATCTGTTAATATTTATTTGAGTTTCTTTAGAACCGTGCACCTAGCAAAGCTTTGGATCAATGCTCACGGTCCACCTGTTTAACAGATGTGACATACGTATAGTAATGATGTGAGTGTATTTGGGTCTGAGAGAAATGCTATAGTAAGTTTGATCAGCTCATAACCGGTCATCATCCAGGGTTATGAAACACTGATAATCCCTAAAAACATGTACCCTCTTAATTCTAGCCTGATAAACCAGACTAAATGGGAGATGAAAGGTGTTATTTATTTCAACTTGCAGGCAAAAATGATTGGTCGCTGGCGGGTGGGGCTAGTTTACTAATTAATTCACCAATTTCCAAAGTCACCAGCATAGTTAAATCCTCCATAGTGCACCATTACGCACAGATGGTTGGATTCTATCTATAGCTTTACAGCAATGCATGTAAATTCTAACATTTTGTTAGAGAGGACACATTTAAATATGTGCAGACCTCGAATTTCTTGTTATTTATGACAGTACCTCAGTGCCAACACATTTCACACTGTGGTTTCAGTGTGAAATGAAACCACAGTTGTGGATCTGACAAAGTCGATCCACAATAAGAGTTTCATCTGAAATTAAATAAAATGTGTGAGAAAAGTTATGATGCAATCTGGTTTCTGTTCCCGACATCACTCGCCATCTGTGTCGCCAATTTCTCCTCTTTCCAACATATGGATGACCAATACAATGGGTCGGAGTTTATATGAGGGACCTCGCATTTTCACAACAGGTCTGTTTTTATAAATCAAAACCTTGGAAATTTTGGAATGTTCAAGCCTCATTTTATGCATAAGGAAGCTCGATAAATGAGTCCACTGGTATTTTTACTCAAAATTTTCACACAACTAATGCCCCTTTTTCCAAGGGCTCCACTTAAGCTGGCTTTACTTCACTCAGCCCACTTTGTGAGCGTTTCCATTACCGTTTTGATTTTTTGTTCCAGACTGCTGGTAAGAACAGAGCTGAATAGGTCTGAAATGTGAGGTGAACTGCTTTTCACTGATCAGACAAGGAGAAACCAAAAGGTTTGGTTCGGGCAGTAAAAAATGAAAAGAAAATATGACTAGACTGACTAAGGTCTATGTGAAATTACAGATTTCCTTTGTTGATTTTGAATGTTCTATAAAAATATACATTGATTAGATAATAAAAACAAAAAAAATACTGTTTTCATGGTAAAAATGCCAGCTGTTTATTTTACTTTTCCCTCATAGTTAGGTTTTGTTTTCATAATATTTGATGTCTAACCTTAATGGCAAAAAGTAGTTAATTCAAGTACACTAAAAGTGCACCAATTTCATATTAAAAATCAGGCAGTGCATTTAGAGTTTACTTCTAAACTATATTTCATATATGTAACAATAGTACAGTCAAGTGTACTTGACTATACTCTTGTTTACTTTATTGTTTACTAAAGTATACTTTAGTAAACTTAAAAATGTCCCAATTTAGTTCGAAGAAATATTACTTTAGTGATACTTCAAGTACACTAAAAGTACATTGTTCTGTATACTTTCTAAACTTATACTTATACTTAAGTATTCTTAATAGAATTTACTTCAAGTCTACTACTTTCTGCTAACAAAAAGGCTTTAAAACATAAAATGATGTGGTTGTAGTTTAAGAGATATTTATTATTCATATGACAGATTAACAGATAAAGTCTAATGAAAAAAGGAACTTCTTAAAAATGACTCAGAGGTCAATAGTTAAGAGAACGTTTCCTTTTACTGGTGAGCTTATATGAGAAACAGGAAACAGCACTTACTTGAGATTGACTGCTGGACGGATTGGTGCTGCTGAAGTCTGAGTACCTCTTCTTTTGTGGTGTGCAGACGCAGGAGAGAAGCTGAACATACTCATCTCTCACCTGCAGGGGGCAGCAGAACCACAGGGACATTTTACAGCCCTGTGTGTTTATTCTAATCCCAAAGTTAAAGCAATGATAAAGCCTTTCTTCTCTACAGGTCTACAAATCGTGTCTGTTTTGCTGATTCTTAACATATCCTCTTCCCCCCAAAACAGCATTCACTCTCACAAAAATCTCTCTGAGCTTCCTACCTGTTTAGACAGCAGGCAATGCATGATGAAGACCAGGGCACCCTGTAGGCTGTTGAGGATAGTGAAAATATATGCAAGCGCTATTGTGCCTTCGCTGAACAAGAAGGCTCCAAATACCCACATGAGTCCAAGTATGCACATTTGGGCAACGGCAGTGACTGTGAAAGCTCTGGAGTAAAAAAACAAAAATAAGGAATAAAGAGACAGGAGAAAGAGAATGTCATTAGATGACTCAAGAACCAGGTGGGGGGTACAGATAAAAGCTACCAGTAAGATTTTTAACATTGCTTGAATCTTAAGTGAAAAACCTAAAATGTTTTGACAAAGGTACAACCATGCAAACTATAATGGATTGGGTTGTGGTACTTTTTTTTTTAATTTTCTGAATCACATTTTTTCTGCATTTACAAATCTTTTCAAAAGTCCATTTTAGTTTTGCATCTCTAGATTAAAATCTCTGCCCTTTCAGTTTTGCTTACAAGCTTAAACTCAAACTGTGTAGATGAAGCGTGTTTATGAACAGATGCATTTTCTAGGACACAGACTGTTTATCAGATACTTGTTCTGAGACATGTTCACGTCATAAGGTGAACCTTCTATGTTTCCTGCTTGAAAACCCAAACAGGAACCAAAAACTGACATAAAAAACCTGTTACTGTCAGTCAGACCTACATTTAGGGAAGTTGTAGAGTTGTTGAAAACATTTGTCACTTAATTCAGTTCCAAAATACTTTATTAATGTCATTGGAAATTTAAATATTGTAACTCTTAGTGGTTTCCATAGTAATATGTTGTAGTACATTTTTGAAGCCTCCTTTAAGGACATTTTTACATTTTCTATGCGCTTAAAATTTTTGTATAACAAGTGCATTTTGTATCAGCTAAATTTTTTTATAACTACAAAATGACAGAAAAGACTCTTTTTGATTGCTTTAGGCAGTTACAGAGTTCTGAAATAAAACTGACTGAAGTCACTATGATGTTTAACATATAAACACAATTACTCATAACAGATTTTTTTTTTTATTTTACAACCACAAACCTAAAAAAAATAAAAAAAAAAAAAAAGAGGAAAAAACGTTCAGATTGACTATTAAAGTCCAGCCAGGGACATGTAAAGGATGTTACAGATGTGGACCGGGGGCTCTCAAAAGCCCAGATTTTTTTTTAGCATTGCCTAGCAACCAGCTCCATCAGTCTGCAGATCAACTTTGAAGTTTCCTTAAATCATAATCATTTTAAGACTATAGTTTTACCATTAGGACAGTGTTTTTAGAATTAGAAGCAGTGTTACATTAAATTATATTCTAGGAAATGCTACATACAAGGATTATTTGAGGTTGTTGCTAATTTATCATGAAGAGAAAACTAAGAAATCATATACACATAAGAATGCAAAGCCTTTACTTAATACTTTGTTGATCCACTTGTGGTATTACAGCCTCAAGTGTTTTGGAATCGGATACCACAAACCAAGCACACCCATCTATTTGCAGCCTCTGCCATTCCCCTGCAGTACTGCTCTAGGGCTCGATGGAGCTATAGTTGCTTAGTTAAGACGGTCAGACATAGGAAGGGTCTCAATGGTCCCAAACTGATTCCATTGACTTTCAAAGCATCAGATGTTTTCTGCATCCTTCCCCAGATTTGTGCCTGAAGATAATCCTTTCTCAGACGTCTAAAGACAAACTCTTTAACTTCACGCTTGGTGTTTGGTCTCTGGTTCGCTAGTCAGCTGTGCGACCTTACAGGTGCATTCCTCTCCTAATCATAGGTGGGCTCCACTAAAAGGTCCGATATCCTGTTGTTTTAACCCTTATATTTTTGATAAATTAGCAACAGTTAATGTTTTGAAGAGAGATTAACTTCAAAGCATTTAGAATATGGCTGTAACAGACTAAAATGTGTGAAAGCTGTGAATAATTTTCAGATCAGACGCCCTGCATCTGTTATCTGGGATCAGGCTTTAATTTCAGGCTGGTTCTAACCAGATTCATGAACTCCACAAGCAATCTCTTCATCTTAGCAGAGATCCCTTTTCTCTCCAATCTCATACTTCATGAGTGCTTCTTCCAGCAGCTGCTTTTACGCAAGAAATTCCTTTTCCAAATTTCTCTGACTGACCTCTGATCTACGAGCCTCTACTTCCAAGGAGAGATAATTTTAAACTAATGTATTTCACATCTGTACACAGTTATTGGGTGTGTGCTACCAACGAGGAATAATAAAGTAGCTTAGTGCAGATAGACAAAATCAAGGGGGGAAACCCCAGTCGGTAGCTCTTCAATAAAGACCCGAGGACAGTTCTCTGGAAGGATTCCATAAAAATTCAAATCCTTTTTGCTCAAAGCCTTTGCGCAATGCAATGCTGCTACACTTTCTTTTTATGTCAGGCAGAAGATTAAAAACAGCAACAGATGATATGGACACATTCACACGCTCATGGTTGCAGAGACTAGCCTGATTTTGTGCAGCTTGGAGAGGTCTGGGTTTAGCGTGGCAAACTTTTGGGCGAGTTTCCAGACGGTGATGATGAAGAAAAAGACATTCAGGATGATGATGAAGCAAACAGGCCCAAAGAAGCTCCAGATCAGACCATGCTGCAGAGAAAGCCAGCAACTATGGAAATGAGATGAAGGAAAAAAATGATTCACATCACGTATGAGATTAAAAAATTAACAGCAAGTATGAGAACTCCTCCGCTGCAAAAAGTCTGATGCAGCGGCCAGATTAATATCTTGGTTTGATTCCTAAGCATTTACTCACAAACAAAAACACAGTCATTGTTACTTACTGATCTTCAGTGCCGTAGCCCCCTGATCTGATCATGACAGATATGATAACGATTCCAAGAGGCACCCCGTAACCAATGAGGTACAGATAGAGGGGCCGAATGGTGGCATTAAACACCAGGACAACCATTCTGTACAGCTGAACTCCTTCTAGAAGCATCCAGGTCATTACGCCCAAGAAGAAAAAATGAAGCATTGCAGCAACAAAACTGCAGCCACCCTGGAATATAAAAAAATATGAAACAGAAAGAACAGGTAAAAAAAACTCTGAAAGTATCTATATTTATTAGTGTTGCATCGATACTGAAACCATTATCGGATGGGGCCCTGATCCAGCACTAAAATTGTGGTATCAGTATCGGCGAGTACAAACAAAAAGGGCACTGATACCTTTTGCTGCTTCACAAAGGTAGGCAGCAGCTTGACAAAGCCATAATGGCAATTATTTTACATCCAAGTAGTATGCAGTTCTTCATATAGCCAGACACACACATCAATTTTAAACAGACGTACTGTATCGGTATGGTATTGGCCGATACTGCACAGCCAGGTATTGATATCAGGGCCAAAAAAAAAAAAAAAAAGGCATAGGCACAACACTAATATTTATATAGAAAATTGTTTATAAAGAGTAAAAATCAACATTTGCTGTTCCACAATGCTTTAAAAAGTATGTATAAGCCAAAATGTGGGAAGTGTTGCATTTGTATTCTATGCATTTATATTCAGCTAAAAAAATGCTATTGTAATGTTTGTTGTAAGTTGATGAGATAAGTTCTTGCAGATTTAATCTAAATTCCAGGAATAAATAAAGAAACCAAAACCAGGAGAAAATAAGGAGAAACACACACGTGGAGCAAAGCAAAGAAGACAGACCAGCACTGATTAACTGCCTAGGATGGTTATATATGACAGACAGAACCAAGTAATAAGTTAATTGGGAGCAGGTGTGGACAGAAGCAGCTAGAAAGGAGCCGAGGGGAAAGGAAACTTGCACAGGGGGCAACAGAGAGTAACACAAAAACACAACGCTGCCAGAAGACACAAAATTACAGTGAAACTAAGAAATCTAAACATAGGGCAGAACCCAGACAATTAATTTCAGGAACCACCTCACAAACTGAATGGGTTCCTCCTCTGTAAAGGGTAACCCACATAAAAGGACTGGCTGTGCAGGGAGAGATTTTAGACCAACTCCCTTGGCCTTTAACAGTAGGTATTTTATGACTTTACATCTTCTGATTTAAATTCTTGACAGCGTGTGTTACCTTAGGACTAGTTCGAGAAATCCCAACCAAGAAGATGAGATCCGCCATGAAGAGGCAGATGCAGAGGTGCAGATGGATGGTGGTTCGTGTTCCCTGAATGGATCGGCAGAACTTGAAGGTCAGGATGCTCAGTAGAAGACAAACAAGGGAGATGCCCAGGCCGATCTTGGTCAGCAGCTGGAGTTCAAAGGTGTGCTATAAGAGAAGATCGTTTTGGTTTCTTTTAGCTTAATTGTTCCTTTTTTCATTTCCTTCAAGGATTAGTCTGAGCCTCACTAGTTTAATTACTTCATCTCTTGTTCTCCCTCAGATTAGTTTCTATTTCTAAAAAAAAAAACAAGAAAAACAGAAAACACCATTCATCTCAAGATAAGACCGTCATCTTCCTGTCTTCGCTGTAGTCCAGTTCTCTCACATAGCATGATGCAAGCATCCAAAAACTTTACTTGCCAGGACAAGTCATTACACCAAGCTCTTTTTTATGTTTTTCTTGAAATCAAATCCTTTTGATTTTTCTAAATGACATCCAAATCTAATTTAAACTTATATGCTATGCTCATCCACATATTTTTTTTTACATTCTGCCCCTATTACTAGAGACAACGATGTATAAAATAGACTGTTTCCATCTGAGGGAGTACATGTTTATTTCCTCCAAACAGTAGATATGCCTACTTTTCTCTCAAACGCCCTAAATTATGTCCAGGTGTCTGTATCCAATGTGACCTACCTCCATGGGATAAAGGGCCATTAGGACAGCAAAGCTGCTTAGATGTTTGCATGAACACACAGTGTATGAGTCATTGGAGAGTTCCTGGGAGCAACCATCTGGGGACCACACTCCCTTCTCATTCCAGTATGCACAGATGTATCTTGCCTCAGGGGGCTGTTTTATATCCTAATGTGAAAACCAAAACCAACAGTTAAATACAGGCTGTGTGTTACATTTATATATTCATGAAATATCTAAGAGAACATTGCAATTTCCTCATGTTTTCCTGCAGTCTGGTCACAATTACCAGCAGCTACATAATTACCAAAGCTACTAGAAGTAGGGATATTAATGCAGTTCACTGTCTCAATAATACTATAAAAGGTAGGCACAGTCAGTATTTTGCACCTACCTGTAGATGTCTGAATGTTATGTTGACAGGGCTGCTCAGATTCTGAGTTGATGGGTTGGAAACCACAACAGAGACAACTTTGGAAAAAATCTGGAAGGAAATGGCATCTTTTTCAAAGTCTTTCATGACTTTAAAAGATCTGTTCACAGATCTTTCAAGGTTCTTGTAGCTCAGCAGTGAGGCCAGGGCAAATCCTATTAGGGAGATTAAGAGTCAGTTCATGTTTTCATAACCGAGCATTAAATGTTTATCAGGTTTAGGGATTTACCAGGGTATGGGCCTGTGCCAGCTGCCGTTGTCCAATCAGTGTTGAGATGAACATGTTCACTAGTTAAACGGACTGGTCCAGTTGGACGGTTAAGTCCTCTTCTTACTGCAATTTTTACTTCTGTTTTGGCAATGATGACACATTGTTAGTCATCTGGATTTTTTTCAACTGTATGGTTATCAGATCGACAAATGCTGAAAACAATGACATCATAGATGTAATAATACCTGTTTTTTTAGTCTCCATCTTTGTGTCGTTGGCTTTGAGCTGAGGACCAATCAGTAAAATGGCCTTCTCCATAGTGTTAAGCAGTCCACTCACACCGTCTTCGCTTTCCACATCTCCAGAGGACAGAACTGAGTCAGTCGCAGTCAGAAGTTTCTAACAGAGATGGAGAGAGGAGAGGGTTTTTTTTTTAAAACCTCTCTCTTTTTGTTATTTTTAGTGGCCGGGATGGGTAACATTAAAAAGTACCCAAAAAATGTACAATTGGAAAACACAGTGTCATCTGCATATACTGTAAATGGCAACTGGTGGAATGAAATTGTATCATTTATATACAGTAAGTGAATGATATGATTATCCAAGGATGAAAGCCAATGACAATGACAGAATCATAGACTAAACCTCAAGATTTTTAACATCTTCTGTCCTCACATACTGTAATCTCATTAAACATGTAATGAACCTAAGGGTGAAATTAACTGATGTATAATAAATATGTAATATCATTTACCTAAAAAGTGAGAGAACCTTGTGATACATCTTTGAGTTGGTTAACATTGAACAATGAGCATACCCAGTCTAAAAAAGATTGACTGTCATTGAGGCTTATTGTAATCTGATGACCATTTCCTTAACCACTTTAATGTTTATGATTTTTTTTTTTTTTTTTTTTTTACAGTTTTTCTTGTACAAGAAAATACATGCTTCATCAAAAACCTGAGGTGGAGCTGTGTCAACAGATAAATTGCATGTGGTTTCAAAATGTATTAGAGTTTGTGTCTTATGTATTTTCCTAACCTCAAGAAGCGCATCTCCATCAGCCTTCCCAAAGCTCATGTTGGACAAATCCAAACAGCTGTTTCTCATCATGGCCACTATGTCTGCCAGACCTCCAAGTGACTATGAAACACAGACAAAGAGAATAAAGAAACCATTCAACTCCCCATTGAATGTTATTTATACACACAACGGATTTTAAGGCAGTAGGTTCTTGAACACAGAAAAATTAACTGTGGGGTTCTTGCAGGGAATTGGACATCAAACTGTCAGGCTACTTTTCTGTTACGTCATAGATCATTAAATGATCAGCATTATGGAGGCTGCAGCATGAATCAGCTGTGCTTATACTGTTTTTGTCCAAACATACCTTCACAAGATTGCTGTCGGCACTAAAGCGGTCACACTTGAGCTCTACACGAAAAAAAAAAAATAAGTTAAATATTTACATAACCACCACAGCCGTTTGTATACTTGGCTGAAACCTTCTCTGAAAGAAGATAAGTGTGACAAAAAAGTAAAAAGGAATGTTAGGACAACCCATCATCAAATGAATTACTGAAGGAAATAACTGGATGCTTTCAATGAGCATTTAGAGAAAAACCAAAGCTGAAGTGATATAAATAGGATATAAATAATTACAACATTAGACTTTACTTTTACTCTAGAACATAATCTATTAGATGTAAATAATTAGAAGAAATTAAAGACTTAAAGGCACACTATGCAACATTTTTCAGTTAATTAATGTGTTCCATAACGTTTTGGATGATTAAATGAGTCATTTCAGGTTGAACAAAGGTATTCTCAGCTGCCCTGGTGGTCTGTGGGGGAAATACCGCACTTGCAATTGCAGGAGCCCTCGGCCCGCACCCACAGGCTCAGAAGTCTCGCGAGAGTCGGTCTTGCTTTACGGCGAGAACTGCTACACGCCCCCAGTTAAAAGCATGCTCGTTGCTAGCACAGTGGCGATCTTTGTGCAGTTATCATGGCGGAACCAGCGTGAAAACAGCGAAAGCCCATGTCGGAGCAGGCAAGAAAGAGGAAAAAGGCTCCGGACAGAGAGAGGAGTCGTACACGGGTGAACATCGGGCAAGCTTTTTCCGAATGGCGAGAGCTAAAATAAAAAGAAGGCTGCAAGGCTGACGCGGACCTCGCGTTTCTGCTGATGCGATTGTAAGTTACATTGGAATGGTTTCTCTCTCTCTGTGTGCATGTTCATACTTTCACTGTGTTAGTCATTCGTTGCGTTCGCCTGTCTGCTAAGCTCAAAACAACCACGCCTGGCTTGACGGAGAAACCAGGAAAACAGCTGTGCATATTTACGACAGTGCACTTTTACTTCCGCCCTCTGGGGGGAGCCTCGCTGGAAAATCAACACCGGTTGCATAGTATACCTTTAAACATCTATGTTTGATAAACCAATACTCACTTACCTGAGCATCGTGTTCTTTCCTGGCCGTAGGAGGTGAATCCTGCATTACAAAGGCATTGATAACTCCCATTGAGGTTTTTACAGCTGCCATTCTCTCCACAAATATTGCCATTTATCTTGCATTCATCTATGTCTGTAGAAAATAATCAAATAGAACCTTTTAGTAAGTATAATGTGCAATTGAATAATTGTCTTTACAATGCATTAAACTGGTTACTATTTCACTGGGAGCCCATCAAAAACTCTTTCACCACTTAGTGAAATACTTTATAACAGGATGATATCAAATAGCTTGCTTTCTTATTGCTGCAATTGCTTTTTGTTTCTTTTAATCTTATAAAGTCACTGATGTCCCCATATATCGTTCAGCTGCATATATAGGCAGTCAGGGCAAAAATTTGAACAAATGAATTTTTCCTTGTACTGATGAACAGTTTTCTCAAAATGTAGCACACTTTTTAAACTCTGAAATGACTTTTCTTATTGGACATTTCTTTGTTCATCAAACCAGATATGGCTCTTTGACCTAAAACCTTCTCTGAAAGCAGATAAGTGTGACCAAAAAGTAAAACGGCATGTTAGGACAACCCATCATCAAATGAATTACTGAAGGAAATAACTGGATGCTTTCAATGAGCATTTAGAGAAAAACCAAACCTGAAGTGATAAAATAACACCACAGGATATAAATAATTACAACATTAGACTTTACTTTTACTCTAGAACATAATCTATTAGATGTAAATAATTAGAAGAAATTAAAGACTTAAACATCTATGTTTGGTAAACCAATAGTCACTTACCTGAGCATCGTGGTCTTTCCTGGCCGTAGGAGGTGAATCCTGCATTACACAGGCATTGATAACTCCCATTGAGGTTTTTACAGCTGCCATTCTCTCCACAGATATCTGCATTTATCTTGCATTCATCTATGTCTGTAGAAAATAATCAAATAGAACCTTTTAGTAAGTATAATGTGCAATCGAATAATTGTATTTACAATGCATTAAACTGGTTACTATTTCACTGGGAGCCCATCAAAAACTCTTACACAACTTAGTGAAATACTTTATTACAGGATCATATGAAATAGCTTGCTTTCTTATTGCTGCAATTGTTTTTTGTTTCCTTTAATCTTATAAAGTCACTGATGTCACCATATATCGTTCAGCTGCATACTGTATATAGGCAGTCAGGGCAAAAATTTGAACAAATCTATTTTTCCTTGTACTGATCAACAGTTTTCTCAAAAAGTAGCACACCTTTTAAACTCTGAAATGACTTTTCTTATTTCACATTTCTTGTTCATCAAACCAGATATGGCTCCTTGCCCAAATAAGGGTTTGGATTTTCCTGCATAACATGCTTTAGGATATTGCAAAGTGGAGACAAAGGTCTCTCAAAGAAATGCCAGGTCAATATTGTAATGCAATACCAAAAGTTGTTGCCATTATAAAAAAAAAAAAATCATTGGTATTAAATAATTACTATAACCAAAAAAAAATAGAAATCAAATAAGTTCCACTTCCAAGAAACTATAATTATTGATTAAATGCACTTAGTGCCCTCGAGGGTTTCGGTGCTTCAGCCTTACTCGGCCGGGTCTTATGTGGTAATAGCTTTTAGAAGTATTTTGTTATTACCTTAACCAAGGAGTTTATGTTTTTAGTGGAGTTTGTGTGGGTTTTTTTTGGTTTTTTTTTTGTTTTTGTTTTTGTTTTTTTCTGTATGTCCGTCTGTGTACAGGAGAACTTGAAAAGTTTTGAATGTATTTTTATGAAATTTTTACCAAAGGTGCACCTCAGTCCAAAAGGCAATCCATTAAATGTTGGTAATGATCCACATCATAATCCAGATGCAGGAACTTTTTATAAGATTCTTTTAATATTATTTGGCAGAACAAGCAGTTCCACCCTAAACCAGAGGGAGGCAGCAGTGACTATTGACAGCTTCAACATCGGACTCAAAAAGTCCAGAAAGTCCAGATATGTGCTGAGTTCAAATTCAGTGGCTGTGTCCTCTGAAGGGCAGATAAGTCATCTGATTACGACATAGCGTGGAGCTAGGTCTATTCAGATTGGAAGACTCTTTCGTATGCAACCGACAAATACATGCTTGTTTTTGCACGTTTTGAAGGATGGGTCCGGTATATCCTACGTAGCTTTGGGTATCTCATGATTCATTACGAATACAAGCAAGCCGTCTGCTCTGTGCTCAGATGTAAAAGGGAAATGGCACCAAACAGTGGTGAATATTGTAAGTGTAGTTTAATATAATACAAGTATGTGAATAGATCCATCTAAAATTAATGATAATAGTTGTTTGAAATGGTAATAGGGTCAGATACGTAGCAGGTAATGTTTATTTATTGAAAGGTTTTATTCTGTCCCTGTGCAAATGGGTTTGGCTTTCATTAAAGGACTGACTCCAATATCTCTGCAGTGTGGGGACTATAAATATGATATTCGTAATGACGGTACTGCTGCTGAAGCTCCTTGAAAATGTTATTAGCACCCAGGACAGAAGCAAGAAGTTGCTTTGTGTGTCAGCTGTAACGGTTGCTAGGCGACACAGCATACATGCTGTGAAAGCCGGAGAAGGCTTGACCTGTTTGAATCCATAGCCAAACTCTTCCAGTCACCATATTTTTATGGACCTTGAAGGACCCAGTCCACATGGACCGTGTCATTGAAATCGAACTCACCCTGAGACTAAAGAGTGAGAGCAGAATAAACACCAGAGTCTGCAGTCATGCTGTGCGTTATTTATAAACTCATGGAAGGATTTTAAGCAAATTGTAACCAAAGGAGCACCTCATGTGAACAATTCAGTAAAATGTTTGTAATTATCCAGATCATGTGCAAGTTTTAGCTATAGTTGTAAGTCCCAATATGGGACAAAATGTGCTTCTAGGCAGACGTCTGTCCTCCAAGTTTCTATTTTTGTTGCTTAATGTTTTAGCATTAATCAAATGGATCTCTGTTGAATAAACAGAGATCTACTGCTCAGACGTGGCGTCTGAGCACATCCTAAACTCAAAGTGTTTGTGTATGTCATGCATATTCACTCTATGCACTGGCTGGAAAATAAGTTATAATTTATTAATGAATTGACAGTAGTAGGGAAGGAATGAGCAAACCCGAAGTACGACCTGCCTGCTGATGGTTGTTTTATTTTAGCTGCCTCTATTTTGTCTTCTAAAATATGTTTAAAATGTAAGTATGGTTGTTGTAAGGAAAGAAGGAGCAAAGGCATCAATGACAATAAAACAAAGGAACAAATAAACAGGGGAAGTGAAGGAAAGATAGAAAAGGGGAGATTTAAGAAAGGAAAGAAGGGAAGACAGATGGAGGCAAGAAAGGACACAGAGGTAAGTAAGGAAGAGGTGAAAACATTTTAAAAAAAATAGCAAAAGAAATAGAGTCTGGAATGACAAATAATAATAAAACTCTGAAATCAATACTGCCTTAAAACTCTCTGAACCATTACTGAAACAAATAAAATACAAAGAAAGAATTGCCACTCACCTGTACAATCTCCTTGGCTTGTGTTGTTAATGTACCCAGAGTTACAGGAACATTCATAGCTACCAAGCAGATTCGAGCATTTACCATAAGGAGTACATTTTGGAGGGCTGTCTGTGCATTCATTAATATCTGATAAAAGAGAAAATACAGACACCATTAATAGCTGGTTCAAAGAGAAATGCTTACATATTTCGTTTGTGGCTTACCAACACACTGTCCCTCTGAAGCAGAGAAGTTTAGTTTCCTCTTTGAGTTTACAAACCCGGGAAGACAGTTGCAGTGGTAGCTGCCGTTGGTGTTTAAGCACCTTGAGTTATTCCCACACAATCCTGGATAGTCTTTACACTCATCTATATCTGTAATTTGGAAAAGTACAGTTTGAAATGTAGCAAGCAGGCAGCATATCAAGATAAAGAAACACTTAAACTGCTTTACAAACCTGGAAGCCATGTTCTGTATTTCTGGTCCCTTATTAAAGATTTTAACAACAGCATATTTCCTCATCTAAAGGTTGTGTTCAATTTAATATTTTATAAGCAGAGGTGGGCAGTAGCAAAAAATGTGCACAAGTAGAGGCAACACCACTTCAACATGGAGCAAAGTTAAAAGACTAAAGTTAAAAAGTAGCCGTCCAATAAACTACTCAAGTAAGAGTGAAAAAGGACTTGGTAAAAGGCTACTCCAGTACTAGGCAATTGTTTAACAGTAAAATAAGTAAATTAATATGAATAAAAAGTGCATTGAAAAAAATCATTCAGGGAGAAGAAACAATTAAAAAATTCAAATGTTTGTCATGACACCATGCCTTTAAATGTATAATGTATGACAAAACAGGGTAAGCTACTTCCAGTCATAAAATACACTGTTTTTCAGTATATTATTAATACTAATAATTGAACTAATCTCACAGTGGAGAAATTCAACTGCATTTAACCCATCCCCTTGGGGAGCAGTGGGCTTACATTGTGTGGCACCCTGGGAGCAGTCTGGGGTTAAGTGTCTTGCTCAGGGAGTCAGAGTGGCAGTCTGTGGGAGTGGGGCTTTAACTCAGAACCTATTGATTCCAAGTGCAAAGCCCTTACCACTAGACCACCCCTCCCCCATTACCTTGACCTCTATGTCATAGAAATCCCAGTTTATAAAAGTATTGTGTGGGCAAATTTATTTACATTTTTTTTTTTATATGTTTGGTTTTTTTTTTTATGTAACTATGTGAATGTAACCAGTTACTACCCGACTCAGTTTAAAATTCCTAGAAAAAATAAAAATTTTATTTAATCCACTTCCTGATAAAACCATTTCTGAATGAGACTACCTCTCTTGATAAGAAATAAGGCTATACGGAGAACGGTTTGTGAAAAATGTACCTTCACAATTGTTGCCAATCATTTGGAAGCCATACTGACACCCAAACACAGATGTCTGCACAGCATACACAAACCCTGTGGAGCAAAATAACAAAATTTTACATTAAAAGTATGCTTCACAAATATATTACCAAAGCAAGTTAAGACATTTCACTTTAATTATACATATACATAAAGCATTAGTCCTTTCAAGGGTTTTATTGGATAGGAAACCAAAAACCTACGGCTGAAACACAACAAGCATTATAATTAATTGTTAATACATTCTCCAGTATAGTTTTCATACCAACTTCCAATTTCCTGCACCTATGTTACAGTAAGAATCAGTGCAAGTTGCCACCTTCCAAGGAGTTTCAAAGGAAGACTGGGCATTTAAGCAGTTCCACTGAAATTATATGTATATATATTATGTAAGGAATTATAGTTCAACTAATGTATTTGGTGGGCTTCTTAGTGATGCAGTGGGTAGCACTGTTGCCTTGCAGCAAGATAGTTCCAGGGTTGATTCCCGGCCCGGGGTCTTCTCCCTGAGCATGCGTGGGTTCTCACTGGGTACTCCAGCTTCCTCCCCAGTCCAAAAACATGACTGTTAGGTTAATTGGCTTCTCTAAATTCTCCTTAGGTGTGAGTGTTAATGGTTGTTTTTCCTGTTTGTATCTGTATTGGCCTGCGATGGACTGGCGACCTGTCCAGGGTGTACCCCTGCTCTTGCCCATAGAAAGCTGGGGATAGGCACCAGCCCCCTTCGCGACCCCGCTATGGATAAGTGTGACGGAAAATGGATGGATGGATGGATAATGTTTTTGCCATTTAAGATTTAAAAAAAAATATATATATATATATATATATATATATATATATATATATATATATATATATATATATATATATATATATATCTATCATCTGTCAATATATTAAGTTAGTAAAAAATCTTCTTTAAGGAACCTTTTATTATCTGATTAGTAATCGATTAATCAAAAAAATTATCAAAATATTAATTGATTTGCAAAATAATCATGAATTGCAACCCTAATAGCTATATATAGATAGATAGATACATATCTATCTTTACATATACATACATCTATCTTTATATATCCGTTTTTAACAGTATTTGTCCAAATAACCAAGGAAACAAGGTTAGTGAGACAAATCTGGAATCCATGATTGTGAAATATGGGTTTCGATAGTTAGAAACAGAGGCTAGTAAAATGGCACTCATTTCTAAATAATTACTGCTACACAGTATAAGTAAGAGCTTATGGCAGGAGCTACAATTTGATCCTTTTCCAAAAAAACAAGGTTAAGATTTTTTATCAGCCAGGGTATAGATGAACTGCATACATCTATTTCACTAATGTGATAGGAATGAAATTGTTCATGGATGAATGTGAATCACCCAACTAGTCAGCCAGCTCCATCTACAATGCATGGGTTGCAAAGAAACATCAGCACAGTAAGAACTATAGCTGGTACTAGCAATCTTTATTTTCTCAGCTTCCTCGCTTTAACGTTGGGTCTAGCTCTGTGCAGAGTTCAAAGATAATCCCTCTTAGCATTCTAAGCGGGCTCTCTGAAAACACTCCCTCTGACTCCTAACAGTGACGTCCTCCAGCAATGCTAACGTTTCTATGGTTCCACAATTATCTGCAGCTTTACACAACAGTTTTCTGGATATGTGTGTCTGTCTATACCTGGTCAATCTTAGGAATGATCACACCTAAAATCTTTTAAATCTGTTTATTCACTGTAATTTTGTTCTCACAGAGAATGGCAGTGCCTCTAAATTAATTACATGCATTATTTACAATAACACATAAAACATAAGGGGGAAATGTAAAGGGGACATCCAACTGAGGTTATTTCAACCATTATTTGTTTCAAGCTATTGCATCTAATTAGGATGAACGTTTAGTTTTCAAGAAAAATATCTGGTTATCTGCTTCTCGGATTAGAAAAGAATTGCCCAGATTTTTTTTAATATTTTTTTTTACACACATTGATATACTATTACACAGAGCTTTTAAAATAGGGTGATGCCTTCTAACAACCGTTAAAAAGTTGTAGATTCCAGTCCAGGTTTTCTTCACATGGAGTTTTGGATAAAAAAAAAATTTCATCCACTTTTAATTTAAAAAATTTTTTTAAATGTTGCTTTTGAACCTTTGAACAAAAAGAGGTTTCACATTGATTCCTAGATGTATTAAATTAAATGTTGAAAAACTCTGATAGATGAGTGGAGTTTCCTAATAATGCAGTAATTTCTAAAGGTCAAACAGTGTGACAAAGTTTGCGAGATAAAAAATAAAATAAATTGTATCTTCAGCGAGTCACGTCTTTTTCTTTATGAATAACTTCATAAAGGCTGAGTCACACAAAGAAATGCAATACGCAAGTCTAAACAGCATGTCATGATGTTCCCATCAATAGTAACAACAGATGCACTGCTACGTTCATAAATTCTTAGAGGATTAAATATTTATGAATGGGAAAAAATATTCTGCAATCATTGGTCTACCTTGAACAAGGTTCATATAAAAGAGTTTTAATCTAGTAGATCTGAGACAAACTGCAGGCATGAAAAATTGTCTAACTAAACATATTGCATTGAAAATTTTATAAACATGTGTTCTGGGAAGGAGAAGCTGATGAAAGCATTGAAACTTGGGTCAATAAAAAAGCAAGAAACAGGGTGAGAGGGCATGAGAAAAAAACTCTCAGGGGAAAAATACAGCAAACAAACATATAGAACACTCGTGTAGCATCTATAAATTTATTTTTGGCTTGCAATACCATGAAAGACTTGACTTAGTTTAGGGGTGAGTCTATGGTTTAACAATTGAGCAATATGTTAAATATATCTACTATATTAAGTAAAAAAATACTAAAAATAAGGATAATTTGTTGGTTATATTTAATTGTGTCCTACAATTCTTTCTTTCAGTTTAAACTAAGCCTGTATGCTTTCTATGGCGCAATTTATACTGGCAAAAAGCTTTTGGAAATCTGAGAACAAGAAAAGTAGCCTCTTCATTTCAATGTTTCCAAAATCCAAAGATATACCACAAATTTTGTAAAAAACAAATAAATAGAATAAATAAATAAAAAAGAACTTTTGCAGGAAACTATCCAAAACTATATGTGAAAATCCTATTGCCTACCTTGTTATATCATAAATTCTGACCGCCTAATTTTCTAATTTTTTGGAAAAAACATTTCGATGTCCCGAGACAGACGTTAGCCTGATTACTTCCAGACTTGCCATACCAATAAATCAGTTAAACAGAGCCTGTCAGACAACATGAAGTAGAAATGTACCGTGTTAAAAGGAAACTCAGGAAAGGCCGTTCACATTTTTCATTCTGGAAAGGCTGTTTCACGCCTTGGTCTCCAATGAAGGTCAGTAACCGATATAATCTACAAATAGGACAATATGGGATGAGGGTGAACTGCCCCCGAAGTGGAAAAACTACTCAAAGAACATCAGTGAGTCAACCCAGGAAGTCACAACAAGAACAACATCTCTAAAGGCTTCACTTGCCTCCGTTCAGTTTAGCTTTCATGATTCAACAAAGAAACATCTTGAAACTAGTTTCCAGAGTAAAAAAAACTCTGGTGACCAAAAATAACCAAATGCTGATCTATTTTTTTCCGTGACTCATGCCAACATACTGTAAACAATCTACCATATCCCATGTGTGTTTTGGAGCAAAGAAGAACTACAGCAGATATTTAGGCAGGTATTTTAATTATCCAAGAGGGAAATGCATAATATTTAAAGATCAGCAGAGGTTTTTCTTGCTATTTCGTTTCATCCTTTCTAGCTTAATCAAAGGATAAGACTAAATGATTACAGAGGCATATATGTAGGGTTGTGCCTACTGTAACATAAATCATTAACACACCTCTTAGTAAAAAGTGGAATCTGAACTTAAAGCCAAGAGAAGCTTCAGCTTTAGATGTAAAAGCTACTGCTTAGTTAATGCATCCTCACACAATCCATTAGCCATTATCATGTCTACAAGAAAGGCTCTACAATTCAAAATCTGACCTCATATCCCCCAAAACGGGAAAGAATGCTGTTATTGTTGATGCTGGTGAGAATCTCTCCAAATATCATCTCCTGTTAGTAAAGTCATTTTCCTCGCTTTTAAAGTGATCAAAGGGGGATTATATAGGTAAAAATGTTTTCAAAATCATTTTTGTTTTTTATTCACAATTTTGTATGAGCTAATCAAATTTTTAAATGCGTGTTCTGATTCTAATTTTAATATTAGTTTATCATTATAAAGGATTTGGTGGAAAACAAAATAGGAGAAAGAGTTTTGCACGGTCCTTCACTCTTTGAGGTTGTGCCATGTTGATTTGGATAGCTGTCCTACCTATGCATTTATAGAATTATCCTTTGAAACTGCAGCATATAATTGTTCAGGTTATTATTTTCTGATAGTAAAATATGTTTGATCTAAAATACTGAACAGTTGCATAAAAAACCTATAGCAAACCTGTCTCCCACTGCAAAAAATGGAAATCTAAGTAAGTATTTTTTTCTTAAAGTAAGTGCATTTTTTCTCCAATTGAGGACGAAAGTGAGAGACTTTGCCAATGGAACAAGACAATTTACATTTAAAATAAGAAAATACAATTGCATTATCTTTTTTCAAGTTCATATTAATAATTATCTTATTTTAAGAGTAAAGATACCAATTTCATTGGCAAATCCTCATATTTACCTACTCAAATTAAGGGTAAATACACTTAATTTAAGAAATTTTTACTTATTTCTAGATCGTTTTTGCAGAGGGTAAGACATAAACCTGTAGACATTTCAGAATGTGATAAATGTCACCATTTTATTCTGCCTTTGAAACCTACAAATAGTAAAAAAAATTCACTAAAAATAAGCTTCACTCCCAGCTTAAAAAGAAAGGAATTTTGTTAAATCAGGAAGATTAGAATGGCCTTGGAGTGCATGATAACCTTTTTGTTCTGGGCTAACTTATCAACTCTAAAGCAAAGGAAAGCCACGCCATATGTACAAACTGCTTCTGAGTTAATGAAAACACACACTC